CAAAAACCTCTCCAAAAAAAAAAAAAAAAAAATATATATATATATATACATACACACACACATATATATTAGCAATGACCAGAAAATAAAATTAACAAAATATTTCCATTACAATGACATAGAAAATGTTACGAATAAATTTTTAAAAGCATAAGATTTGTACACTAAAATGTATAAACACTGCTGAAAGAAAAATGTGAATAAATGAAAAGGCATTCCGTGTTCATGAACTGTAAGTTACTATTAATCAGATGGCAATATTCCCCAAACTGATCTACAGATTCAATACAATTCCCATAAAAATCCCAACTACCTTTTTCACAGAAAAGGCAAGTTGATCTTAAAAATCAAAAGAAATGCAAGGGACCATGAATAGTTAAAACAACCTTGAATAAGGAAAACACAGTTGGCAGACTCGCTTCCCAATGTCAAAACTTACTACAAAGCTATGGTGACTCTATAGTATTGGCCCATAAACCTAGACCATCCAATGAGAGAAAATGTAGCCTTTTCATCATATAATGCTGGGACAACAGAATAGCCACATACGAAAAAAAGAAAGGATATACCTCTATCTCACACGAATACTTATTTTAAAAATAAATAAATCGAGGTAAGAATTAAAACTGTAAAACTCTTTTTTTTTCTGGAGAAGTTTTTGTTATAGGGCGCGTCACTTGCCAGAGAGAAACAGGGACAGAAAGTGAGAAATCACCCTCCACGGGGGATGGCCATGCCACAATCCCTTCTCCATTCTCCTCAGGATCCTGGGCATACACGCACACGCCCCCAGCATGAGTTTAAGCCATCGGGTAAGGTACTCAAACCGCGGTCGACTACATGGGAATCCAGTGACATAGCCATTACGCCATCTGCTAGTCCCAAAACTGTAAAGCTCTTAAAAAAAGGCAAAAATCATCACCTAAGATTAGGCAATGGTTTTCATATGTGATACCAAAAGCACAAGCAATAAATGAACAGGTAAAATGTATGTGATGGAAATTAAAAACTTTTTTGACAATCAAAGGACAAGATCAAGAGAGAAAAATGTAACTCACAGAATGGGGCAAAATAAACTTACAATTCATTCATAAAAAGATAAATAGGACCAGCAGATGACATAATGGTTACATCACTAGACTCCCACGTAGTCAATGCAGTTTGAACCCTGGATCCAGCAGCTTGAAACTCATGTTGGACGTGGGTACGTGGGTGCCCAAGATCCCGAGAGGAGAAGGGATTGTGGCGTGGCCATCCGCTGTGGGGGGTGATTTCTCGCTTTCTGTCTCTGTCTCTCTATCTCTCTTGTGAGCACATGTGCCCTATAGCAAAAATCTCTCTTAAAAAAATAAATAAATAAAAAGAGATAAATAACTGGGCCTAGGAGGTGATGGGGTGATTGTACTTCCACATGGCCAATCAATTTTAGTCCTAGACCTCATAGCTTTCTCTTCTCTCTCTGTCTCTCCGATGAGTGAATGCACCCCTCAGCAAATTAAAAAATAATAATAAATAAAATTAAATTCTAAAATAATAAAAATAACTGAAAAATGGTCAAAGAATCTGAACTATCATTTCTCCGAAGAAGGTACACAACTGATAAGTACATGAAAAGACAGTTAACATCCTTAGGGAATTCTACATCACTACAATGAGAGCCACTTTATACCTACAAGGATGGCTAAAATATAAAAGACAGATAATAGGGTCATCAGGTGGTATGGTGGTTAAGGCAGCTGGGTCCCACTTGGCTGACAAGAGTGGTCCAAGTACTGGGTGTGGCAGGTTGAAAATCATGCCAGGTGCACGTGTGTGTATGCCCAAAATTCAGAGAGGAGAATGAAGAAGGAATTATGGTGTGGCCTTATAACTCCCTTACATGTGATTTATCATGTTCCCTCTCTTTCATTCTGTCTCTCTCTGGCAAGCCCATGTGCCCTATAGCAAAAGCTAAAAAAATAAAATATAAAAATACAGAAAATAACAAACGTTGGTAAAGATGTGGATAAATCCAAATACTTGTAATTGCTATTGGAAATGTAAAATGGTGCAGTGCCCTGGAAAATAGTCTGATAGTTCCTCAAAATAATCAGTTAGTGTATGACGAAGGAATTCTACTCCTAGGTCCATATCCCAAAGAATTTAAAATATATGCCCACATAGAAACTTGTACATGGACATTCATAATTGTCTTATTTATAGTATCAGTGGAAAATAATCTAAATGTCTATCAACTGATGAACTGATAAAAAAGGAGTATATTCATAAGATGGATTTTTCAGCAATAAAACGAGATCAGGTATGCTGGAATATGGATGAGCCTCGAAAACATGCTAAGCGAAAGAAGTCAGTCACAAAGGACCACATATTGTAGGTTCCATTTATGTGTAATGCACAGTATAGGCAAATTTAAAGAGATGAAATAGAAATCTGTGGTTGCCAAGGCTGGAGGTGTTTGGGTAAATAGAAAATGAATAATGGATATAGATTTGGAAGACTTAATATATTCTAACAATAAATGTGATGGGTATGCAATCTTGTGAATATCCTAAAAACCACCAAAATGTACTATTTAAAATTGGTAATTTGTAGAGTATATGAATCACCTCCAAAAAACTATGATATATATACACACACACACACATATATATGTGTATATATATGTGTGTGTATATATATAAACAGACAATATGTTTATATATATATACATATATATACATAAACAGACAATATCTTTACACAAATAACTAAGTTGGCTGTACATACGAAAATTCCTATCAAAACTTACTGAAAATGCAAAAGTTATCTTTAGTCTAAGTGTGCATTTTGGTAATATAAATTTGGAAGACCAAAATGCTTATAAATTCACAATGCCATATAGAAAGTACTCAGTAAATTATATATAGTCAGTAAAAAAAAACAGGCAGGGGATACACAGAGTTTGGCATACTGTCTTTGGTCCTTACTGTGTTAAAAGCTCAATTTCAAAGTTTTACCTTATAAGACTGAAATCAAGTCTGGTCATGTCAGCACTATCTTCTGGGATATTACGAGCCAGAATTCCTAATTTAACAAAGTTAAACAAAGTATTAGGTTTACAAAACAAATCAAGTGCCATCAACCAAATAAAATCCTCTAATAGTCTTAATTAAAGAATACCAAATATAGGACCAGCAAATGGCGTAGTGGTTAGGAAGTTTTATACAACTATCACCAATTCCACTACAGTGTATATTCCATAAGGCAATGGCTTGTCTGGTGATCCTTGGTCTTTCCACTTTTATTCACCAAACTGTACGGCAACTGGCAAGTCAGAAATAGACCTGTTTCTAGCCGTTTTGTTTTATATGCATTCTGCTGTCTCCAATGAGTGAATAAATGTACTTTGAAAAAAAAAAAACTACTTTGAAAATCAGTTACGCTGTGATGTTCTATTCTAAGTTTGAATTATTTTAAATGACTTTTTATACTACAAAATCTAAATATTTTCATACCTCCAGGGGAACATAGCACACTAATAACCTGACTTTTTGCCCCCCTTTATGCTACTATGTTACCAAATGAAATATTTTTGATCATTTTAAACTGAAGATACCAACTACTTACCAGCATGGACTGCAGGATGCAAGGTTTTCACACGGCCCCCCAACATTTCAGGAAATCCTGTCAACTCAGACACATCTCTGAAAATAAATAAGCAAACTATTAATACTATTTCTGCTAAACTGTCATTTTACACTAGTCAGAGCATCTTCAATCATCAAGTCTACTATGTTCATTTCAAGTGATTCTTCAGAGCCTCAAGTGAACAAAATAAATAATTCCAGTTTAAGTGTCTTTCAGTCTACTTAATTACATATATAAAATTCCATTTACTTTCCTAAAAAATGTTGTTCATTATATTTCCTAACTGATGTGTGTTCAGGGAGAATCAGGGAGAATTAAAGCAAGTCAACGGTTAATTTCATGAGCTAAACTCTCAATCTCTTCCTAGTCTGTGTGATCTTAAACAAGTTACTTAACTTCTTTGTGCCTTGGTTTCCTAATCTATCAAATAGTAATAATACAACCTATACCAAAAAGTCATCGCAAGGACTTGATGAGTTTTACATACAAAAAAACACCCCCCTACCACCAACAATTTGTTTATACTCCATTCAAGGATCTGTACTGTGCTGGGCTCCAAACAAACTGCTCATGGTGAACACGCTCACCCTTGAATAGGAAAGGAACACTTTTACATGCCCACGTTTTAGAAAACATGTCACCAGTGCTCGCTTCGGCAGCACATATATTAAATTTGGAATGATACAGAGATTAGCATGGCCCCTGTGCAAGGACAACATGCAAACTCATGAAGTGTTCCATAGTTGTAAAACTGTGGCACTTATACTCTATGGAATATTATTCAGCCGTAAAAAAAAAAAAAAAAAAACCCTGGCTTTTGACAGAAAGTGGAAGAATATGGAAGATTTACTGCTGAGTGAAGCAAGTCAGGCTATGAAGGAGAGAAATTTTATGTTCCCACTTAATATATCCAAGTGTCCACACTCTAGGACTGAAACTGATTGACTAAAGGATATAGGGACACGGTATATGGATATAAATACCAGATATAGTGTGTGTGAAAGAGTGGAGTCTGAGGAAGGACATTTAGAAGAAATATAGAGAGGCAAAGCTTTAATGGTACAAAGAAATGTGGCATTATCTATTGAAGATACTTTTATAGTTTTATCAACTGGACTAGGGAGAAATGTTCACATGTTGAAATACTCAGTTTGTAAGGTAAATAAAGCGATTGAATGAAAAAGAGAAAATGAAATTTAAAAAAATGTAAAAAAAAAAAAAACCCACATCACCATAATGGAAGTAAGTTAGGAGCAAGACTGACCAACTATCTGACAAGTGTCTAAACTGGGTGACAGGTACATGACTCGAGAGACCATTATATCATGGCATTTTCCTATCTTAGATTATATTTGAAAAGATTCCAAAATGAAAACCAGCTCGGGGAGGGGGTAGGCCATAAAAGAGGATTTGTTTAATTTAAACAAGGTTCTAACTAGGAGGCAACAACCTGGCCCAATGGAAAGAACATAGAGCAGGACTTTAGGTTCATCTATGACTGTTCAGAACAAGCCGACCTGCCTGCCTTCCCCCATCTCCACAGGGTCCATGGGAGTACCACTCCAAGATGAAATATGAAGACACTGGAAAACATAAAGCACTTACTTAATAAAGTAACACGCGCTTGCCATCTGAACTCGTGTCAAGTTTAGGGAAGCTGTGTACTGCCTCACCATAGGACAGAATTACAAGAAACAGTAGTAATCTACCTGTGCATGGATCTAGAGGTCAAGAAGGCAGAAACGTCTTTCATCTCTTTTCTTAAATCTGTTATATTTCAGAGGTGGGCAGGTCCTTCCTCTGAACTCTCTCTGCAGTTGAGTATAGCTGCCCGGGGTCTTTTTCATAGTCATCCTTTCAGTTGCTGCCTCCTTGAGCCACCTTGGCATCCTAATTTTCATTACTACACCTCTTCTTCCATCTTGGTCAGGTAATGAATACCTCATGACTGAGCGAATGTTCTGTACCTTCACTAGGTCACCAAAGATTTTGTTCTGTTTTATTTTTTGAGAGGTTTTTGCTATACAGTGCACGCTCGCCAGAAAAACAGAGAGAGACAGAGAGACAGAAAGTGAGAAATCACCCCCCGGGGGGGGGATGGCCATGCTGCAATCCTTTCTCCTCCATTCTCCTCTCGGGATCTTGGGCACCCACGCACACGCGCTCTAAGCCACCGGGTCCAGGACTCGAACCACGGTGGAGTCCTGCAACATAGCCATTCGTCCAACTGCTGGTCCCCTCACCAGAGATTCTAAGGGATGAGAGGAAGTTGAATCTTCAACATGTAAAGGTTTGCTAATCAGCAAGTCAAAACAGATCATGTGAATCATAACTTGAATTTTTCTTGCAAAACACATAACCTCTAAATTAATCTGATAAAGAAGTGGCTAAGAACTAGGGCTCTGACATCAGAACTACCTGGGTTGCAATCCTGGCTTTCCTTAATCAACTCTGAGCCTCATCTCCTTCTCCCACAAAACGGGTAAGCAGTGTACCTCCCTCCCTGCGTTATGGAAGGTAATAAAGGTGTTTCACTCCGAGAAGTCTGGAATACGTTACTTTGGGGTTAACGGGATCACACCCCTTCCAACAGGACTTGACTTACAAAGTCGGGCCTTACCTGACTGCCAGATCAGCATCCCTGAGAGCTTTTGCAGTCCCCCCAGAAGCGACCAGGTTCAAGCCAAGAGACGCTAGGCTTCTGGCGAATTCCACAAGGCCGGTTTTGTCAGAGACACTAAACAGGGCTGAAACACAAGACAGCTTTCTCACTACCCGTTAACTTCCGTGCTGTTCTCCAAGAACTTGGGGGTGGGGGACCCTGGGGGCGGAGTGTCGCCATTCGCGGCCTGCACCTGGCCTCCCCTGCCAGTCCCCAGCAAGCTGCACACGGAGGACGGGGCGGGCGGGCGCGCCGGTTTGCAGTCCCGCAGCGCAGCGCAGGCCGCCGCCGTGGCGGAGGTGACACCGAGGCCGCGGAGCAAGCACGCCGATGGCGCCGCTCTGAGGGTCTCACCGAGCTGGCTGGGCCCCATTGCTGCAGACACAGGGTCGGCGTCTGGGCGAGCAGGAGGTACTAGCGGCAACGCCACGTGCGGGAGGAGGCAATGAGGCCCAGCGAGTTGGATTCAGGAAGCTGGGTGGGCCGGGCAGTCACCTGACCTGTCACGTGACCCGTCAGCCCCAACGCCGATGGCGCCGCTCTGAGGGTCTCACCGAGCTGGCTGGGCCCCATTGCTGCAGACACAGGGTCGGCGTCTGGGCGAGCAGGAGGTACTAGCGGCAACGCCACGTGCGGGAGGAGGCAATGAGGCCCAGCGAGTTGGATTCAGGAAGCTGGGTGGGCCGGGCAGTCACCTGACCTGTCACGTGACCCGTCAGCCCCACCCTCCGCACTCCTCCCTGCTCAATTTCAGAAGCGAAATCGCAACCTCCGGGCCGAAAGGGAAAGTGGGTGGCGCTCCCGCTGGTGCGGCCTGGGCACCGACTTGAGCTTGAAGGGATTCCCGCCCCTGATCCCAAAGTCCGGGCGTGGGAATCAATGATCTGCACCTGTCCCCCAAAAGAGGAGTCACCCCACGGCCTGTGGAGGGAACGCCTGTTGCCTGTGGCAGCCTGTTTCAGAGGCTGCAGTGTAGATAAACGTGCCCAAAACACCCATACTAAAAACGAGTTAAAAAACGAGTTAAATAAACCTGCACAGTTAGAAGGAATCTTGGCAATTAACCTACCATCCTCCCGTTTTAACAGGTTCGAAAAATAAAACCAAGGTTTGAAGTTCAGTGACAAACCCTATAGTCCCCAGATCAGAGTCAAAATGAAGCGAAAACTGGCAGTCATGAAATCTCACATTATAAAATTACCTGAAATCAGCTTAAAGATGGTGTCTTCTTGCAAATCTGTAAAAAACGGTTTTGCCTCAAGCCTGGATGAGGTTGGAATATTTATTGATTAGAATCAAGAGTTTTAATTTTTTCACTTAGGAATATACCTCCTTGTTCTGATTTTTTTCTCACCTTTCTAAGAGAAAAACATTAAGATGATCACCGTATCTTCAGAGTGTGTTTGCCAACTTGGTAAAAAGATAGATTCAAGGCCAGTAGTAAAGGAAATTTCCCTCACTGGTCACCATTAGACTTCCAAGCAGGGAAAGGAGAAAACGATGCTGAGATTTCTTGATAAGAGGAAATAAATAACCGGTGCTTACACACTAGACATCACCCTTCGTATGAATTACAAATATTTGTTCAATTCAATAATGTATTGAGCCCTTTCTGCCTGAATGGCAGAAATACCATTTCAGGAGACAGAGAGAAATATCACCTAGTCACTGTCCTCAGGGAGTTTGGAATGGAATGGAAGTGTAGAAACACAGGTACAACTGGAAAAGAGTTACAGAAAGACAAACCAGGACATTACACCGATTTTATAGAGGCTATTTAGTTACAGACCCAGACACACACGAAACACCTTTTCTTTTAAAAGTAAATATTATAAATAAGTTTATGTAAGATACAATTTTTATTTTTAAAAATAAACTAATGGTAATTTCACTTTCTACCAATTTATATTATTTAATAGCAGAGTGTACATATACATGCCAGACAGAGAGAAAGGTCCCTCGACATCCCTCAGCCCCCTTCCCCCCATGGGGCCTGGTCACTCCACAACCCCTTTCCTCCATTCCTCCTTCCATCAGCGTCCTGAGCGCGTACACACACACACACACACACACACACACACACACACATATCCATCATGTTTTTTCAAGGTGCTAGGCTAAGATTTGAACCGAGTTCAACCATGTGGAATCTAGCTTCCTCACACAGTGCTTAAACCCTACACTATAGGGCTGACCCTACAACTCCTTCGTATGTAAAAATGCTTAATTCTGATGAGTTTGATAAGTACTTCACATGTTCAAGGGCAAGAAGAATAAATGAGTCATTTTAAGTTTATTTATTCCATTAGTGAGAGAAACAGAGATAGAGAGAAAAAATGACATAGCCTTCCCAACAGGCTCCTGATGCCAAGATCTACCCCCAGCCTTCAGCTATCTCAGATTATTGGTGCGCTTGTGCCTGGCATAAGCAGGGAGTCTCCGGACTTGAACCAGGAACCTTCCCATGAGGGGATGCTTTTCAGAGTGTTGCTACTGCTGTGCTACCATCTTTTCCCCTGAATTTCTTACTAGCTTTGTGATCCTGGCCAAGTCACTCCATTTTTGGGGATAGTCACCTTACCTATAATGTGGACATATTTGTTCTGTAGTCCTCAACATATTTTAAGAAGTAAGTTAAAGTTTTTTTATTATTATTATTATTATTTTTAATTAGCCAGAGGACACATATTTGCCTGAGAGGAGACAGAGGGGGAAAGGGAATAATGGTCACATGACAATCCTTTCTCCACTATTTCTCCCTCCGTTCGACATTCTGGGCACACAAGCACACGTGCTTAGCATGGTTTTCAAGCCACTAGGTCCAGGACTGGAACTACGCAGTCAGCCATGTGGGATCCAGCTCCTTAACCACCACACTACCGGCAGGCCCCAAATTAAGGAATTCATTGAAAGTCAAACTGTAAAGTGACTATTAAGAAGTGTAATCTCCTTGGCCCATTCTCTTGAGGTAGTTGACTAATTGATTACCTGTCTGAGCTTCAGACTTAAAGTTGCTAAGCGGTGGGGCCAGCAGGTGGTATGTTGATTAAGGTGCTAGATTCCCACATGGCCAACTGCCGTTCAAGTACTGGGCTTGACGTCTTGAAAATCACACTGAGGGGACCGGCAGTTAGCGTAATGGCTATGTCGCTGGACTCCCACGTAGTCGACAGCAGTTCAAGTCCCGGATCTGGTGGCTTAAACTCACGCCGGGCGCGTGTTCGTGTATGCCCAGGATCCTGAGAGGAGAATGGAGGAGAAGGGATTGTGGCGTGGCCATCCGAGAGGTGATTTCTCGCTTTTTATCTCTCTGTCTCTCTCTGTCTGTCTAGCACACGCACGCACCCTATAGCAAAAACCTCTCAAAAAACAAACAAACAAACAAAAAAGAAAATCACACTGGGTATATGTGTGTGCATTCCCAAAATCTCGAGAGGAGACTGCAGGAGAAAGGATTGCAGTGTGGCCATGCCCCCAGGGGATGATTTCTCACTTGACTTCTCTCTCTCTCTCTCCAGCGAGTGCCTCCTATGGAAAAAACCTAAAAAAAATAATAAAATGCTAGAGTTAGCAGCATATACACAACAACAGTTTGGTTCTATCTATTTTTATATAAGGTCAGTGTAAGAGGTTTGGTAAATATGTTTGAGTTTTTAAATGTTGATTTTGAAGTACAGATAACTGATGAACACAGTCAAAATTATACGGTAAGTCATTGGAAATATGAATGCAAATCAGAACTGGAAGTGAGGCTAAAGATAAATACATTTGGAAAGTTAATGACACTGAAGTAGTAGCCGAAGCCTGGGAGATGATAAGCTTGCTTAATTAGGTCTAGCAAATAACCTGAGCAGGAAAAAGAAGGCCAAAGAAAGTAAATTTGTCCAAGCAAGCATTTAATGCCTTCAAGAGTACATGGGGATTTTAACCATTTAGACTTCTAATAATCAGTACAATGGTTGATAGAGTAATTCAGAATGATATTGGGGCAAGAGTTTATTCAATGAGTGTTCATTGAGACTGCTCTTTATTCATCTATTCATAAATCTATTCAAAACATATTTTTGAGGACCTTGTTTTGGTACAAAAGTAATTACGGTTTTATATTGCTGAAAATTGTCACATGACATTGGATGCATTCTTGTATGAATGTGGATATGTTACACATAATTTTTTAATTTTAACTTTATTTTTATATTTATTTATTTATTTATTTTAATTTTACCAGAGAATGACAGAGTTAGAGAGAGAGAGAAATAGAGAAAGCAAGTCGCTAAGTCCAGGACTCAAACTGTGGTCAGCCATGTGGGAATCCAGTGCCCCTAACCACTATGCCACCTGCCAGCCCCTATTACACATAATTTTAATGAGCATTTCTCACTTTATTTTTTTGTTAATTATTTATTACATGCTGTTTATTTTATATATATTTTAGACTATGGAAATTATGTTAGACAATGCAAATTTAAGCAATGTTTGTACTGGAATTCAAAATGGGTCGTAAAACAGTGGCAACAACTCGCAACGTCAACAATGCATTGGCCCAGGAAGTGTTAATGAATGTATAGTGCAGTGATGGTTCAAGAAGTTTTGTAAAGGAGACAAGAGACTGGAAAATGAGAAGCATGGTTGACGACCACCTTTTTTTTTTTTTGATAGAGATATTTTTGCTATAGGGCACATGCACTCACCAGAGACACAAGAAGAGACAGAGAGACAGAAATCACCACCCAGGGAGGATGATCACGCTGCAATCCCTTCTCCTCCAATCTCCTCTTGAGATTTGGGGCACATGTGAACACAGGCCTGACACGAGTTTTAAGCTGCAGGGTGCGGAACTTGAACCATGGTGGGCTACATAAAAGTCCAGCGACATAACCATTCTGCAGCCTGCTGATCCCAACAATGACCATCTGAGAGCAGTCACCAAGGCTTATCCTCACAATTACACGAGAAGTTGCTAAGAACTCAACATGAACCATTCTATGGTCATTCCGCATTTGAAGAAAATTGGCAAGGTGAAATAGCTCGATAAGAAGGTACCTCATGGGGACCAGCAGTTAGTGTAATGGCTATGTCGTTGGACTCCCACGTAGTCGACCACAGTTCGAGTCCCGGACCCAGTGGCTTAAACTCACGCCTGGCGCGTGTGCATGCGTGCCCAAGACCCCGAGAGGAGAATGGAGGAGAAGGGATTGCGGTGTGGCCATCCCCCCGGGGGGTGATTTCTCACTTTCTGTCTCTCTGTCTCTCTCTCTCTGTCTGGTGAGCGCACACACCCTATAGCAAAAACCTCTCCAAAAAAAAAAAAAGAAGGTGCTTCATGTGCTGACCAAGAATAAAAAAAAACGTGGTTTTTTTGAATTGTATCCTCTTATTTTATGCAACAAGAAACCAAGTCTTAATTGGATTGTGATATGCGACTAAGAGTGGATTTTATACAATAACTGGCAATGCCCAGCTCAGTGGTGGAATAGGAAGAGGCTCCAAAGCACTTTCCAAAGCCAAACTTGCACCCGAAAAAGGCCACAGTCACTGTTTGGTGCAGTTTGATCCACTACAGCTTTCTGAATCCTGGGAAACCATTACATCCGCGAAGTATGCTCAGCTAATCGATGAGATGCACCAAAAGTTGTGAGGTAACTACTTCTATAAGAGAGATTTTTTACTATATGGAA